AGCTCTTTATTTTGACACCAAGTGTATAATATAAAGTCCTGCCTTTGAGCACCTGTACCATGAGGCAGTTTAGTTTGTTTTTAAGATTGTTCTTTAAAATGATTCTATAATTCTCATTCTAGATTCAGTATTGAGTAGTTTTAGGGTTTTTTCCTATTCTAGAAGTCACACACACTTACACTCAATGTAGACAATTGGTTTATCTTCGTAGACCTTCCGATGCGTGTTTTTATAAACACTCGTGTGTGACTTCTTTCCGTCTCCCTCACTTGCGTCGTTAAGTGGACGCTGGGCCCCAACATCTGGACTGTGGTTTCCAGCTGAGGTTCACTCCCAGGGGTTCACAGGTTTTCTCGGTTGCGTGTGTGTGTGTGTACTTGTTCTGTTTAACTATGGCATCCATTCAGCATTTCTGTTAGTATAGGACATGAAGTGAGTCTTTAGGATTATCCTTTCTTCCCCAAGTTACTGATTCAAACTTCTAGTTTTGTCCCTGGAAACAGGCTTGGATTCTGTCGCCTGCTGGTCTCCCAGCTTTGGAAATGGACGTCCGTGTCTCCCAGCTTTGGAAATGGACGTCCGTGTCTCCCAGCTTTGGAAATGGACGTCCGTGTCTCCCAGCTTTGGAAATGGACGTCCGTGTCTCCCAGCTTGGAAATGGACGTCCGTGTCTCCCAGCTTTGGAAATGGACGTCCGTGTCTCCCAGCTTGGAAATGGACGTCCGTGTCTCCCAGCTTTGGAAATGGACGTCCGTGTCTCCCAGCTTTGGAAATGGACGTCCGTGTCTCCCAGCTTTGGAAATGGACGTCCGTGTCTCCCAGCTTTGGAAATGGACGTCCATGTGTTTCTCTTGTCCCGGATCTTTCTCAACGAGGCAGCTTCCTAGCTTCCCTGGGTCCGCGCGTGTTGACGTCGGTGCGGCGGTGCGAGGCCGCGATGTCACCGGCCCCGGGGTGAACCTGCGCCGAGCACCCCGCCCCACCCCGGGGCCGGCTCCGAGCGGGCCCATCGGTCGGTCCCATGGGTCGGTCTTCACCGCAGACGCCGGTCCCGCCCCGAGGAGACGGCCTTCAGAGTCGGCGCCCTGTGTGAGTCACACGGGCAGCCATGGGGCAGCCGAGACTTAGTCCGGAGCGTGGCTCTGGGTCAGACAGACTGGGGCTGTTTCCTGCCCGACGTTTGCCAGCCGCGTGCCTTGGGGCAAGTTAATTAGCCTTTCTGGTTCCATGTCCCTGTGTGATGACACCTGCCTGGAGGGACTGGGTGAGGACCAAGAGACAATCTCTGTACGGGGAGCAGGCACAGGAGAAGCTCAGGGAGGGACCCCTACGTCTGCTTCTTTGACCTTTTTTTTTTGGTTAAATCCTCACCCGAGGATAGTTTTCTATTGAACTTCAGATAGAGTGGGAGGGAGGGAGGGGGAGAGAGAGAGAAACATCAAGGTGAGAGGGACACATGGACTGGTTCCTCCTGCTTGACCCCAGCCAGGGCCGGGGACAAACCACAACCGAGGTACGTGCCCATGACTGGAATCGAACCCGGGACTCATTGTCCTCGGGCCAACGCTCTAACCACTGAGCCAAACCAGCCCGGGCTTTGATCCATTTATTTATTTATTTATTTATTTATTATTTATTTATTTATTTATTTTGGTACGTGCCCCTAGTGAAAACTGAATCCAGGACTCTCTGGTCCACAGGTCAAAGCTCCAGCCACTGAGCCAAACTGGCCAGGGCTTGATCCCTTTTTTAAAACATTTCCTCTTTCTCCTCCTCCCCTCCACCCCCTCCTTCTCCTCCCCTCCACCCCCTCCTCCTCCCCTCCACCCCGCCTCCTCCCCTCCACCCCCCCTCCTCCCTCCACCCCCCTCCTCCCCTCCACCCCCCCTCCTCCCCTCCACCCCCTCCTCCCCTCCACCCCCTCCTCCTCCCCTCCACCCCCTCCTCCTACCCTCCACCCCCCCTCCACCCCTCCTCCCCTCCAGAGTGGAATTGGATTATAACCCAAAGTACCAATGAAATATCCATGCGTCCATAGTGATATAAATAAATTATTGAATCACTTAGGACATGTGGGAGAAGAAACAAATCTTTCAAATCTTTTTTTTTTTTTTATCCTCACCCGAGCACTTTTTCTTTTTTTCATTTATCTGCAGACAGAGCGGGAGGGAGAGAAGGGGGAAGAGAGAGAGAAACATCCATGTGAGAGAGAAACATCCATGTGAGAGAGACACATCGAGTGGCTGCCACCCACACGACCCCAACCGGGGTGAGGGACAAACTGCAACCGAGGTACATGCCCTTAGCGGGAACCAAACCCAGGACACTCTGGTTCACGGGCGATGCTCTAAGCCAAACCAGCCAGGGCAGAAGAGACAAATCTTTTATGCAGAATTCCAAATAATTTCGCGTTCTCCACCTTCAAGGAAGTGGAGTGTAAGCCCCACTCCTTAAGCAGGGGCCGTGCTTAGTGACCTACTGCCAGAGGACAGTGTGGAGGTGGGGACAGTGATCTTAGAACGGGAACCTGGCAAATACGATGCAAGCCAGGTGGTCAAGGTTGACAGGCTGATGGACTGTAGTCTGCACACGATGTGATGGGAATGCACTTGACCTCTGCGGTCTTCCTCGCAGTGAGCCAGGACTCTGTCTGGTCGTTACCAGATAGAAGCAGTGTGTCAGTGCATACACTGTGTATTTTATTTTTATGCACTCTAAAACTCTGTTTTGAAAAGAAACCCGCAGGCTTCGTCAGACTGACAGAGGTCTCTGAGGCACAGACCTTGTTAAGAACCACTGATCGGTCCTGGCCTATTTGGCTCAGTGGTTAGAGCATCGGCCCGTGGACCAGGGAGTCCCGGGTTCAGTTCCCGCTAAGGGCACATATCTCGGTTGCAGTTTGTCCCCTGCCCTGGTTGGGGTCTGTGGGTGGCAGCAACTTGATGTGTCTCTCTCGCATCGATGTTTCTCTCTCTCTCATCCTCCCTTTGTCCCTCCCACTCTATCTGAAGATAAATGCAAAAATGTTCTCGGGTGAGGGAAAAAGAAAAAGAACCACTGATCTGTGTGAGGGATGATCCAAATCACAAATTCTTCCGCCCTCCTCCGGCTCATCTCACTGGTACCCACAGCCGTGGTCCCTTTCCACCTCAGCACCTGGTTTATCCTGCCCCCTTTTCCAGTAACTGAAGGTTCCTTCTGTGCTTCTGATTCAGCAGAAATCTTTTGAGGTTCGCTTTGCCCTGGATCCTTCGGGCTCTTTCACCATCCGATACCGTGCAGCCTCTTTGGGATGGAAGGTGCACAGAAGTGGGCGGGATGCAGAGGAGAAATGAGAGCTGGGAGCATCTTCAGGAACAGCGGGCTTCTGTTGGACGTACCCAGGGCTGAGCTGGTAATGCTTAACCATGGCTCTGGGGAAATGGATACATGTATCCTTTCATTGATACAAGGGTGTGTGCATACAAATTACTACTACTGATAACATGGACACGCTCTCTGTCGGAAATTCCCCATAGCCATCGATTCTCACGGAACACTGTCCTTGATTGTCACCGAGCTCTTGTGTCCGTTGTCTGCCCGAGAGATGGATATAGTTCTGCGACGGACACTGATTGTTGTTTTCATTTATGTTAATCACATAAAAGCGAGACCAGAGGGCGCTGGAGTTCCAGTCAGTCATCAGTTTAAAGCCAGGCTTCAGCCGCATCAGGTCACAGTGTTTAGTCCTGGAAGGGTATCCCCTCAACTCTTTGCGCTCTTCACAACGTCGCCAACACAGATGCGGCATGTGTCTGTGTCGACCGGCGTCCTTCGTTTCCTGGAGCTGAAGTCTAGACAATCCGAGCAGAACCCTGGGGAAGCCCTGACGTGCAGCATCTGCTCATTCCATGGTGCCAAGTCCCCACGTGGCAACTTCGAGAGCACAGACAAGAGTAAACCCAGTGAAAACGACCAGGAAGGGGATGAGGATTGACGACTTTCGCTTTTAATATCATTTATGTAACTATAGGTTCATCTAATGTGGCATTCAGAAATGGCTGTTTACCAGCGAGGTTGCAGAAATCCTGAAACTGCATCAACTGGATCTCATGAGCCGCCAGGGACGGGCTCCAGCTCACCCCTGCGTGTGCCCTTCGTTTGCTCAGTGACCTGGGTGCCTCTCTGGACCCCTTGAGCTCAGGATCCACCCATCAGGGAGAACTGTCTCCCAGCTCCCAGAGCTGTGATTCTGGGCACCGCGGGTCCCGGGCGTGTTCCTCTCCAAGTCCCTTTCAGCTGTCCCATCCAACCCCAGCTCGTAGCCCTGTCCCAGACCCGTGGCCACCTTTCCAGATGGGGTCGTGCATCACTCTCACCCTTCCAGCGCGTCTCTCCTGTAAAGAACAGGAGCTGTGTCTCCACGTCATCTTGCGTTTCCTCTGGCCCCGCCCCCGCAGATGCTGGTCGCGGGCGCTTGCCCCTTGCTGAGCCGCAAGCCTGGAGGGAGAACGTTCTGGCGGCGAGAGGGACTCGCTGTGAGTGTCTGCGTCCACGGAGAAGTGTCCTTGGACGTCTCCAAGGGCAGAGCAGATGTTTTCAGGGCGGATGTTGGTTTCTTCTCCTTGGTGTCCGAGCGCGCAAGCTCTCCACAGTCCTTGGGCTCAGATGCCTTCTTGGTCTACAGTCCTTGTTCTCCCGCTAACCAAGATTTGGGAGAGGCCTGCTTTCTGTAGATTGGGTGATTTTTCTAACAGTTTATTGAATATGTGTTTTTCAAGCTGACTGACACCTCCCCCCGGATTCTGGGGAGCGGTGTGGGTGAGCCCCGCCTTCCCTCCCGTGGCAGTGGGTCACGTCTGCAGACGGTCCTGCCAGCCCGATTCCCCCATTCTGCGTGGGTTCCTGTGGGCCTTCGATGGGACCCCAGTGAAGTTATCGGCACAGTGCATTCGTGTCTTAGTACTTTCCACCGGCTTTGTGACCTTTCCGCTCTCAAGACTTTCTGCTCGTGTTTTCAGAATCCACCTCCTCTGTTTAACGAAGTCAGCGCCACCATAGTCCAGGCTGAAAAGGTGACCTACCTGCGGAATGAGGTGCAGATAAAGCACGAGGAGGACTACAGAGAAGCCATGGTCAGCATCAAGGATGACCTGAAGCTGACGGAAGGTCTGGACATCAAGGAGAACCTCCAAGACCAGATCCGGCACTGGTTCATCGAGTGCAGGTGAGCCGAGCGGTGCAGAGACGGGCCCTGGCCCTGGTGATGGAGGGGCGTGTGTGCGTGTGCGTGCGCGTGTGTATGTGTGTGTGCGTGTGTGTGTGCTGTGTGTGTGTGAGTATGTGTGTGTGCGTGTGTGTGTGTGAGTATGTGTGTGTGCGTGTGTGTGTGCTGTGTGTGTGTGTGAGTATGTGTGTGTGTGCGTGTGTGTGCTGTGTGTGTGTGTGTGTTGTGCATGTGTGTGTGTGCAGGTATGAGCTGTGTGTGTATGTGTGTTTGCGGTGTGTGTGCATGTGTGTGTGTTGTGTGTGTATGTGTGTGTGCTGTGTGTGTATGTGTGTGTGTGTGTTGTGCATGTGTGTGTGTGCAGGTATGAGCTGTGTGTGTATGTGTGTTTGCGGTGTGTGTGCATGTGTGTGTGCTGTGTGTGTATGTGTGTGTGCTGTGTGTGTATGTGTGTGTGTTGTGCATGTGTGTGCTGTGTGTATGTGTGTGTGCTGTGTGTGCATGTGTGTATGTGTGTGCTGTGTGTGCATGTGTGTATGTCTGTGCGTTGTGTGTGCATGCGTGTGTGTGCTGTGTATGTGCATGTGTGTTGTGTGTGTGTCTGTCTGTCTTGAGCACAGAAGCGTGTCGATATAGAGTCACGAGGGTTTTGGCTTCATTTCAGAAAACTGAAATGTCAAGGCTAAGAATTCAGGAACTAATGTTTTGCAATGAAATTGCTGGTATGTTTTTTAAATGCCATCCCTGTGATGTTTCTGTGACCCCATGGACCCGAACGTGGGCCTCCCCGGCCTCCCCAGGGCTACCTGGAGCCGCTCCAGAGAAAGAACTGCGTCACTGTAACTGTCACCGGGTGGCTGGTCGACCGCTCTGTGGGCCGGCTCCCCATCCGGGACAGGAGGACAGGGCACCCACACTTCGTCAGGTGGCCAGGGATGGAGGGTGCCGAGACCTGGCCTGTAGGTCATCAGCATTCCACTGTGCTGTGACCCTCTGCTTACTCACGTGGCCCTCACACCGCTGACAAGTCTTGTTCGGATGCCTGGCCTGGGCGGGGAATGGGCCGCGTGTTTGCGGCGGATCGTGCGGGCCACGGTATCGCAGCCTTTCATTCCTGTCCAACTTCATGGCTGCGTCCGGAGAAAATGACCTCGGGATGCCTTGTGGGGTCATGGAAGTGTAGGTAGAAAGGCATTGTTTCGAATGAACTGAGTCTTCTGATGAAATGTGGTTGGATCATAACTAAAAGCTTCATGGTTGTCGTGACGGAGGATGACGGGCCCTGTGTGTGCGGACCCTCGTCAGACGGGCGCTGTGCACGGACCCTCGTCGGGGCGGGCCCTGTGCGCGCGGACCCTCGTGGGGGCGGGCCCTGTGCGCGCGGACCCTCGTCGGGGCGGGCCCTGTGTGCGCGGACCCTCGTCGGGATGGGCCTCGCTTGGCTCAGGACTTCAGAGGACATGTGTCCACACAATGGTCCTCACTGATGTGATTCTTTACTTGCACACACACGTCTTACAATCCGATCTGCTTGACAAAACCAAGTTGAAAGCACTATGTACAATTATAACTGCCGATAAGCTAAAATCCATAAAACACTCAAATACACACACATACATATGTACCTATGTATTCGTCCACGATTTAACTTGTTCATTGCCTGTTTGTCCCCCGTGGAAAATGTCTGGAAGTGTACGCTGGGAACTGTTAGTGTTGCTACCTCTGCACACTGGAGCAGCGATGTTACCCTTTATTTTACATTCTGTGCTCAGAAGTTTTTTTCAGTATTTTTTTATAATTTAAAAAAAAAAAGCCTAGTTAAAAGTATATTAGAAGAGAGACAAGCAATGAGTTGGGCATAATCCAAAATAAACATTTAAAATCTTTAAACAGCCTCATGTTTAAGAGCGAGGAGCGCAATCCCTGCACCACTCCGTTGGAAATCATCTTGGGATTCAGGAACAGGGAGGTGGGACTTGTCTCCCCAACCTGAGGTCCCGGGAGGGTCACGGCAGACCCCGCGGGCCCTGACGTCACCCAGGGAGCCAGGGGCTCTGGGCTCCCTTTGAAGAGCCAGCCCTCGCTGGCCAGACCCTAGAGCACATCCATCCTGGTGCTGCTGACCTGACATTTGGGGCCAAGCAGAAGCCGCTGCCAGGGCTCTGGTGTGTGTGGTTCCCGAGGAGCAGAGACGCCTCTTTGGAAGGAATGGAAGGTCGAGGGCAAACGCACTGTCTAAATTGGATTATATGTGTCTGATCGACTTTGATAAAATCCTTTTCCTTGCTCTTTTAAATCAAAGACAAACAAAAAGCAAATATTGTCTTTTGAAACATGAAGCATGGTGAGTCTTCAGGCTACATTCCAGCAGGGCGCACGCTGGCACCCCAAGAGGTGCCTAGAAGCCACAATTCGTATGTATCCCCACCACTTCGGATGCTCGTTCCCAGCTCATTGAATTAATACTCACAGTTGCCAAAAAAGAGTTACACTCAGATTTGTTTTTTTAAATCAATTTTTAAATAATTTTAAAGGAAATCTATTTTTTTAAAGGAAGTCTTTTTTTCCAGTGGTAACAGTGATACATGCTCATTGTAGACAGTGCCTAAGACCGAGGAGTTTAAAGATCATTAAAATCGTCTGTGACGTTTGTACACACAGGCAGCTACTGTAACATTTTTGGTAAATTTCCTTCCGGTCTTTTTTCTCTTACATACGTATTTGAATTGCAGCTGTATGAATTCTTCTTCTAATTTTTTTAAAATGTAGTATTAGATTTCCTATGTCCTTTAAATATTTTCCAAAAGTGTCCTATTGCGTGGATGCAACTAGTTAATGACCTGATCATGACCTTTTTCTTCTTTTTTTTTTTTTATCCTCACCCGAGGATATTTTTCCATTTTTTGTACAGATAGAGTGGGAGGGAGAGAGAGGAAGGAGAGAGAGAGAGAAACATCGATGTGAAGGGACACATCGAGTAGCTGCCACCTGCACGACCAACCAGGGCCGGGGACAAACTGCAACCGAGGTACGTGCCCTTAGCGGGAACTGAACCCGGGTCTCTCCAGACCGCAGGCCGATGCTCTAACCACTGAGCCAAACTGGCCAGGGCTGATCATGACCTTTTTCAATTGATCAGAGAAGATGCCATCCCAGGAATCTTTCCGTTTGCGTTCATTTTATGAATGTGGGGGGATTGAAGGAACTTCGGGGGGTTGTCAATATCTTTCTTCTTCTGTGACCCTCCCTGTCATTGATTTGCTCCCTTTTGTAATGCCTTTTCCAGCTGGTCTCTAACATAGTTACATACCCCTATATATATTTCTGGTCCCCAGCCTTTACTGACACATTGTTGCAATCATCACCTCCCAGCTATCATTTGCCTTTTATTTCTTAACTGGCCGACAGGAGAGCTAGAAAGAGAGAGAGAAACAGAAGAGAAAGTCATCAGGAGCTCGCCGGCCGGTCTCCTGGGCACCCTGCCCTGGGCACCCCGCCCTGGGCACCCCGCCCTGGGCACCCCGCCGTGGGCACCCCCGTGATGGCACGAGCTGCCCGGCTGCTGCAGGGTTAAATGATGTGGTGCAAATACACGCTCAGGCCCCACAGCTTCCTGCTGAGGTTACGAATTTTACAGGTGTTTTTCCTGCTCTAAATGAGATTTTCTCCAAATGTCATGTTCTGTTGTTGTTGGTTATATGTTTTGTACAGGGTGCACCATTACCGAACCGAATCCTGAGGTTGGTCTGAACGTCTCTCCAGGGGTTCTCTGGGACTCGCTTGGATGTACCGTCACGGGAAAGTGGCGGATGGTTTTGCCCCCAGTAGCCACACCCTCACTCCGTCTCCTGCCCTGGGGCCAGGGGGCTCAGGCTGTGGGCTGGGGCATCCTTAGGCTGCCCTCCAGGGCTCCACGGCCCTGCTGGGGCCAGTCCGGCGGCGTGGCGGCGGGTCACTGTCCTTCCCACAGACCCGCCTGTTTGGAGCACGTTTTTGTCCAGTCCTGCAGTCTTGGAAACGTGGTTTTGGTCGGTGGGCACTCCCGTTCATCAAGCAGATGCCACCCTCTTCCCGTCACCGTCAGCCCCGCCCCCACCAGGAGTCCTAACTCGAAGGTGGGCCCCTGCCCGCAGCTCACCCGGCCTCCCTCCCTGTCACTGAACCGCTGTGGTGAGCGGGCGGAGTCGGCGTGTTCACTGCAGATGATCACAGTACCGGCCGTGTGTGGGGCACTCACGGCGCCGGGATTCTGAGGGCTCCGCGGTGCCGGGCGCAGCCCCGGGCCAACCGCGGTGGCTGCTGCCAGGAACACCGCACACTCAGCCCCGGCACCAGGAGCGGTTGATTTCCTCTGGGTTCGGGGAGTCGGACGTCAGCCGTGAAGGTGTCCTCAGGACGCTGCCCCTCCGGGAGCTCGAAAAGAAAGCCTGACCCTGCCTCTGCAGCTCCAGGGGTGGCCAGCACCCCTCGGCTTGCGGCCACGTCACCCCAGTCCTTGCCTCTGGGCTCACACTGCCTCCTCCTCCCCCACATGTCTCTGTCCCTTCCGCCCCTCTCCAGGAGGACACCCCAGCCTCCTCCTCCCCCACGTGTCTCTGTCCCCTCCACCCCTCTCCCGGGAGGACACCCATGGACAACCCAGGAGCATCTCCCTGTCCCCTGACCCTTCATTTAATCACATTTGCAGAGACCTTTCTCCATACAAGGCAACACTGGCAGCTCCAGGGGTGCAGAGCCAGTATCGGGGTCTGTTACTCAGCCCGTCTGTGAGACGCACACTGCTCCCCCGTGCTCGTGGGCAGCGCCTATCATGAAGGACCGGCTGCAGAGCTTTGCCCGAGGACAGCACAGGACTTCCCGAGGGCGGACATGGTCCTGGTCACACTGCCAGTGTGGTGGCCACGAGCCGCCCACGGCCGTGGAGCCCTGAAAAGGAGTCGGGGCGCTGAAGGTCTGACTTCTTGGTGTCACTTTACTTAGATGGAGGTGTAGGGAGCCAG